TCACAAATTAGAAAATCAACTTCTTGCTGCACCAGCAAGAAAACAGGTAGTGAGAAAGGATGGCCCTGCAGCAGCCCAGGCCCAGGCCTGCCCCCACACAGCTCTCCTCAGGCTAGACAATGTAGGTTCACATACCAAGCAGCTCTGCCTTTCCAGGCAACTCATGATCTAAAAATTTCAAATATTTCTCTTAGAGAGGAATTCTCCACTGCAAACCACTTTAGCTGCCAGAAGCTTCCCTGCAGCTCATGATTTGGGAGTTGGAAAAACTCAAGACATCTCAGCTGCCTTCCCATGAATTATCACAGCTATGCTTCTCCACCCAAGATAAAGACTGGGCCACCATCAAACTCTGCTCATGTCCCACATTCACAGGGACAAATATAGCAATAGGACACGAAAAAGAACAAAGACTCATTTCCCATTTGCTCCAAGTAGGGCTGTAGGAAAAAGCTCCCTCCCCCTTCTCCTCCTCCCCAACACTGTATCAGGTTATACTGTGTGCAACCAAGAGCCCAGGGCTGCAGCATCACCATTTTGTACAGCACTCAAACAAAAGACCAAGTCCTTATTATGGCTTTGATGTCTTTTATTAATGCTCACCAACCATTTAAGGGTTCTGCTCAATATTCAGCTAGATTAAAAATAAAAATTAAGAAAAACAGTAAGTATGCTGAAGTCTGGAGTTTTTTACCTGCTGTTATCTCGGTAATCTGACACCTCCCTTGAAGCTGACCTCTTCTCCGAAGCAACCAGCCAACTGGACAAGAGGAAACGGCCTCAAGCAACAGCAGGGGAGGTTCACATTAGACATTAGAACACATTTTTTCACTGAAAGGATTGTAAGGCACTGGCACAGGCTGTCCAGGGAGGTCACCATTCTTGGAGGTGTTCTCAAAACAAATCTAGTGCTACAGTGGTGTTGCATCAAAGGCTGGACTTTATCTTGGGTCTTTTCCAACATTAACTATTCTATTAATCTGTAGAGATGAGGACAAGGGGATATGTCCACTACTTGCCAAGGCATTGAGCGCTGGTCACTAAAAAACACCCCACAGAACACACTGAAAGACCAAAGCACTGCTGCATATTCTACACAGACACAATCAGCTGCTTTGGATGAGTTTTGTTGTTTCATTCCACTCAGGCTGAGGGTCTCCTACAGGCATTCACTTCCCTACAAAGCTCAGAACAGACCCCATCCTGCAGGAAGCAATACTGTGAGGCCACATCAGTGATATGCAGGATGCCCTTCTACTTACACAATGCTGACATTTAAAATTCATATGCTCTAGTCAAAGTTGCACCTACATCACTCAAAGGTCAGCCAGCAGCCCTCGGTCATTAGCTCTGTGCAAATAGGACAAAGGTCTCTGCTAAATAAACCAGAGAACCATCAGGCTTCTCCAATTTTCTGCAAGATGAGACAAAAAACAGTCCCAGAAGAATAAACATCCCTCAAGAGTTATACACTCGGACCTATATGTACAAAAAGCAACACTTGTCTAATCTGCAATTGTTTGTTTGCATGTAGGGAAAACATGCAGGAGCAAGTTTCTCCTGGGCATATTTGCATCTAAAACCCATCTCCCAACCTCCCCTCAGAACATCAACAGGACACACACTGCCCATTTCATGCATTAATCACACTAAGGCAGGGCTGACCAGAGACCAGGTCTGGGTAAAGACTTTCACCAAGACAGCCTAAGATTCCCTGCTCCCCAGCACCCTCTCCTCCTGCTATCCCTGCAAGACCTGGCAGAGTCACATCCTGGGGTAGCTGCAGTGCCAGCCCGTCTCTCTGACATTGCTTGTCCCAAAGCTCTCACTGCAGGGGCTGCTGGCCAAGGCTATTAATAACCAACACTGTGCCCAGAAGTTTCCTTGTGCCAAACCCAAGGCCTGTCTTCTCCAAGTCTTTTCTGCAGCTGTCAAGAACTCGTGTGATTGATTAGAGTGCATTTGCGTCTTCAGCCTAAATCAGAGAAGGCAACAAACCCCAAATTCATACCAACTAACCACTCACCACAGATTTGAAAGTTTTATCTACAGTTCAATCACTGACCTACAGTTCTGCTCTTGCTCAAGTGCATGAGAACAGGGTCTGCATCAAACCACACATCTCATAATTACAAAGAGCAAGAACAGGCCTCCACTCCCTACAGATCCAGCAGATATGATCTGTTTTGTTTATTATTTTAATAAACATTACTCATGAATGTGTGAATTCAATTAACATGTTAATGAAAATGGTTTCACCTTGTATTAAACTGGTTTGGGGTATTCCCAATAGGTAATCCTTTGGGATTGGTAAAGAGATGGGTGGATGAGAAGTGGTTGGCAGCAGAAGGAAGGCTATCAACAGAATATCAAACTGTAACAGCATTTGTCTGATACAACCTTGTGTTGCTCAACCCTTCACGATGAATTACAAAAGCCCAGCTAAAAGCTCCGTAAGTGTCCCAGCAGGATTCAGGACACATAAACCATGAAAATGTGATAATGCATAAATGTATATATGTTTGGAGATGTATTGTGAAATCTAAATGGGAGCTGGAGAGATATTCCAGTCCAAATTACAGAACAGTATTAGAATTTTGCTCTTTTTATCATAAACTGACTTCTATAACACAATAAAAACTCAGGTGCTCCAATTCCAGATGGCTGTGAATAGAAAACAGGTGAAAGCATCACACTGGATAAAATCCCTGCTCCTTCTGCCCCTTAAATTGCAGTAGATTGTGCATAGTATAAAACAAAGTATTCAAAAGTGCTGAAGAACAAAACAGTTACCGAAACAGCCTGAGAGGAAGAATTAAGTGACGTCATGACAGAAGATAAAGTATTGATCAAAAACAAGATTAATGTTTTTTTACGTTTGCAACTGCTTCAGTAGAAAGAATTTCTCAATCCATCCATGGAGTCACTTGCCAAAGAGCTAACTGATTTATTATCCCAGAATGGCACGGACACAGCTGGAAGAGTCCAGGGACAAACTTAAAATGCAAAGTTGTTCAGAAGAAAAGCCTGACGCAAACAGAACACTGCAGAGTCCAGCTGCAGCAGCACAGCTCTGCTTCTCCAGTACATGGGAAAAGTAAAGAACAAACCTTGGGAGGAAGTTTGGACAGCCAGGACCTGAAGATCAAAGAGGAGATACGGGGCTAAGGAAGAAGTGATGAAAGTAGATTTCAGCAGCCTGGGAGCTGATATAGTTTTCCATGGGGAAGCTAATACCAAGGGAGCAATCACAGTCAAATATATGAACTTAGGAGGGGAGAGTATCACAAGACCAAGGAGGACATCACTGTTAGGGTAGAGGCAAAGAGGACATTTGGGACTGAAAAGAGACAAGGGCTATGTTTACTGTTTCTTAAAGTGAACTAGTCCAGCAGAAGATGCTGAACACTACTACAGAAGAGGCAGCTGCAGACAAAGTTCACCACTTCAGTCTGTCTCTAGGCAGCTGGGATTAATTCCACCAGTTCAGACTGTCTGGAACTTCAGCAGCAGAGATGAAGTTTTGGAATGGCACTCCAGCCCTGCAGTTAATCAGGATCAGTAGGAAAACAGTTATATTAGCAAACACACAAATATTACCATCACACATTCTTTCAGCAATAGGACATCTCCAAATACAAAGTAGGAAACAGTTCTGTTTCAGCATATTTCCATTAAGTGCATATTTCAAGTTCCATAGGTCTATATAAAGTCAGAAAGCAACAGCAATAGGACATTGACCATCCCAGAGGTAGATGAAATTCAGCAGTAAAAGACTATCCCTTCACACAGTAGAACAAGAAAGGCTTTTAAAAAATTCTTCACATGGTTATCATTTTACTGCCCAAACAGAGTGAAGTATGTGGATTGCTTCACGCTGACCAGCGCAAACAAGCATTTTGTTACAAGGCTCACTGGTTTGGCACACTGTTATTCGTCAATTGGTTTAAAGATAACAGC